TTTGTAGGAGTTGAATATGAGGATGAATAAAGCCAGTCAGATTCACGGCCGACCGGAACCAACATTATTCCAAATCGAATGCATTCTGAAGGCGCCGGAGACTCAACAACTACAATGCAGAGACGAGAAGCATCGAAGGATTTGGGATTGTGAAGGTGGTGTAGCGAGCTTCTTCTTTCTTCTAGAAAGAGGAGGGAAAGTTCAGTAAGGAAAGAATGCGATGCTTAATGCTTTTATTCTGGAAGAAGAATATTTGTATTTTGTTCCCAAACAGAAAGAAAAATGAGTTTTTCAAAGTTTGTTTATACATCTCCAAGTTGTGACTTTTTATTTTAAAATTCAACATTTGTGAGATGTTTTTGCAAAATTTGATTAGTAGGAGTATTTAAAATATTTGAAGATAATATTTTCTAAATCTAATTAAACAAATATTTAAAAATAATTCTCTAAAGTTTATGGCTATCTTAGTCTTTCAATTATCAATAAATATTCATTTTAACTCGTACAAGTATATTTAACTTCCGATTATCAATAAATATTCATTTTAACTCGTACAAGTATATATATATTTTTTATGACAAGGAAAACTCGCAATCGCTACCTTTTGGGTGCGCACAGGATAAAACTCAATAAAACTCCCGCTCCTATGCAATAGCTCGCAAACCACATAGGAGAAGTAACCCGCACTAGACAAGTCCGGTGCGACGAGCTTGACCCAGAAGGCAAACTCTTTACTTTTGCTGGCAAGGGGTTTCAAACTACTCGTACGAGCATATTTAACTTCCAATTAATTAAAATATGCTCTTTTAGTCCTTTAAATTCCACGAATCATTGGTAAATTATATGAGCATGTTTAACTTTCAATAAATTAAAGATATTCTTTTAGTCATTTACCTATGATATACATTCAAACTTCATTATAACAATATTCTTGTCTTAAAACAGTACGTTTATTGTAAATTATCTCTTTTATAACAACTATCGTTCTTTTAGTAATATAATTTTAAAACCATATTTATAGAAATAGAATCTCGAAGATTATAATAATACATAAGTGTAGAGATTTGATCAAATATTTCATCTAGTACGTGTGAGTGAGCTAGCGTGAGATAGGCTGACTAGTTTTAAAGTATCTAGAACTAACCACGAGGGTCCTAATATGTGTTTTTACGTACTTTCGGTATCCAGAAGACTCAACGATATGATATTTCTTTTTATGTTTGAAGTTCACATTGAAACTCCAACTAAATTCGAATTATACATTACAAATTCATTTGAAAATGATGTTCCCAAGCAATGGAGTGAAGTGATTCCGGGGCTGGGATCACGAACGGCCCTGTTTCTGAATATACACAGAATAGGGTTTCGATGAGCCCTAGATGAATGTAACCACAATTAACATCACCACGATCAGGCTATCCAACACGGGATGCTGCCCCATGGGATGCTCATTTGAAACCTTTGTCCGGTCAATGCAAGAAGGAGCCCGCTTGCTTCAGAGCGTGCTATTGCGTGAAGCGGAAAGGAACAGCGGAAGAACACACCAGACATGATTTTTTCCGTACTTAGGCCTCGAATATGATATGATATTGTTTAGCATGCTTTATCAAATTTTATTATTGTTCTATTTTTCCTTGGTGTTTCCAACCTCTATATTAGTAATAATTAAAGTGAGTTAATAATTGTCACCCCACTTTCAAAAAGAAAACAAAAATTTAGCTAGAGTGAAGCATCGGATCTAGACTAAGATCTTCATAAATCCTGAGACAGGGAATGAATATAAGTAGGCAGGCATTCGGAGCTGGATTGAGTCCTTTTTCCTTAAGCCAATATCAAGATTGATAGCTGAGTGCTCGCGCGAATGAAAGAAATAAGCATTCTAAACCGTTTCTGTTCAAGAATTCACACACTGGTGTCTACTTCAGGCTCAGCCTCTATCTTTTCTCCATCAGGAGCTTCTTTTTCGTCTGTAGGCGCAGTTCCTTCTTCAGACTGCATTTGAGTTGGAGAAGGCGGCAACAGCTGCACCACATTTTCCACAAGCTCTTCCATTGTTTCTGCAGCTTCCCCAAGATGGGCATCATATTCCCTTAATATCTGATATACGTCAAGAAGAAACAAATATATGTCAGAACCTCAAGCAAAATAAACATAACATGTTAATGATAGTTCCGCCTCTGCAGTTTTAACATACCCAACAATCACCTGGTCACACTGCTTACCATTGTTAATGACTAAAACACGACTTTGCTATTTAGATGAGTGAACCAAGGAGGTAAATAAACCATATCTTCTATTTCCTATCCATTGAGGAAAGGTCATTTCTCCATATTGTCCATTGCTTACAAGTATTAAGATCCCATGTTGTGCAACAATAAAACCACACTTCATAGACATCTAACAAGTTATGATGCTGCAAATTTAAATAGTCAATATACCAAGAACATCATCTTTTCGAAATTACCGGATAAAGTTCAACGAGTGAAGATGGCCTGATATTGATGATGTTAACGGTCTCAACATGCTTAAGTTTGATACATTTACATTTTTCCAGTATGCCACATTTACATTTTTCCAGTTTGATACTTTTACATTTTCCCATGAGTTCACCAATCACTTGTCTTGTCTGATTGCAAGCAGCAGTTTGCTCTAAATAATCATACACCTAGAAGATCAGAAACATTAGATATTGCCGGGCACAACAAAATACTCTCAAACAACAAGTTCAATAATGTAACTTCCAACCTTGAACTCTGATGGTGCAATGGGGACTATGACCCGCGTAGGATCTCTTCCTGCACCTCTGGAGCGTAGAAAATCAAGCACCTCAAAATTTGTGAGAGCACCTGCATCTGCTTTGAGGCTGCAAAAAATAAATAACAAAGACCATGTACTTAGTAGCTCAATGAAGCAATGGGCTTCAATCAGGAACAAAGGCATAAAGAGCTCATACATCTTCATCACCAGAAGCCAGGACACCGTGTTCAAACTATTATTCTTCAATCACTTACAAGGAGTTGCTTGCAGAGGGATGTATCTGTAATTTGGAAGGAGAAAAAACAAGCGTGAGCCTTGTTTTTCCTTTTATCTTTTCCTGCAAGAAAGTGTTTTATTAAGGCTTTCTCTTACTTAGTACATAATCGTTCGTCAGCATTTAAACCAAGTCTAATCAGTTGTAGGCTAAGAAAGCTTCAGAACTTAGTGGTTAGGGCTTCACAAGACGATTTACCAATTAAACCAGAGTAGTTGAAAAAAAAAAGATCACAGTCTTCCATGTTTCTCCTACTCTCCTTTTTATGTTGCAACGGGAGTGGGCAGGAGAACATTTATACCATGCTACTATTACTTTTCATGACGAAGAGCAGTCTCTTTTCAAGCTAATCAAGTTAGTACCACAACATGTTTAGAATGACCCTTAGTTTATTTTAATGTCCAGAGAAGATACACAGTGTCACATGTGTAGTTATCATTAGAGTAGTTTGTGATCCTTTTTAGTGCTGTGTAACTTCTCAGTTTTGTCATGATACTTGTCTATTGGTGCATCCAAGTTCTCACATTGATTTTCTGTTTCTCAGGATTTCTCATGGATTGGCTATTAGTCATATTACAGTTTAGTAACCAAACTGGTATCATTTATCTATCATGAAGTTATTTCGCTGTAAAATGATAAATGTTACTGTACAATTCCAATATATACATGGAAAAAGCATCAAACTTTTAACGAGATAACACAGAGATCATGTGTAATATCTTAGAATTCCTATAGAAAGGATCACATAACCCACAGAACAACAACAACATATCCAGTGTAATCCCACAAGTGGGGTCCAGAGAGGATAGATGTATGCAAACCTTACAACTACCTTGTGGAGGTAGAGAAGTTGTTTTTGAAGTACCGACAACTCAAGTGCAGCAAATCAAAGTAGTTATGAAAAGGGAAAAACGATAGTGATAGTGAAGAAAACATGATAACTAATAAGAAAAGCAGTACAAAGCATTCAGAACAAAGATCAGTAAAATAGTGCAATAACCGAAACACAATAAACAACACATAACTCATCCCACATGTGTAATTATCTATTTTTTTTTTTCATGTATAGAGAAGATACTCAAAAAACTTGCTCCCTTCGATACAAAGGGGCAAAGAAACAGCGGAAGATGTTCAAGTCTAGTTTCGGGTGAATTAAGCAGTCAAAAATTGAATGAAATTCCCTTATAGCTCAAACACACCCACCTTCTATCTCAAAGTACAACTTGCACTCAAGCGCGTAACCTAGTGGTCAATGTAAGTTTCGAACCACAAGCTCTCAAGTACAAATTCCATTAGAGACATTACTTCCTATGTTTCCTAGCCTTGGTGGACAAAATACTTTGGTATCGTGTGGAATTAGTTGAGGTGCATACAAGTTAGCCAAAACACCACAGTTATTAAAAAAAGTACAAGTTAAAATCCATGAAAATAAGCAGCAGCAGCAAAGGGAAACCAAGTAAACCAGCAAACAAGAATTCAGAAAACTGAAAAATATCCATAAAGACATAATTTTTATGCAAACAATTCATTCAAAAAGAAGAAAAATGGCTCGTCCTAGAGATTCTAAAGCTTAATTTAATGGAGAAAGAAGTTAGTTACCTTTCTTTACCACTGAAATTGCAGAGATGGAGGAAACAAGTGAAACAAATAATGGAGGACCAAAAAAGAAGTAGTTATTAGGGCTTTGCTTTTTAGTGAGGGTATTATTGGAATCAAATAAACGATGCCCTAAACATCTCGCATTCAGGCACATTATGAGAAAACATACACTCCCTTTGTTTCAGTTTATTTTTCTTTAAAACTTGTTTATTTTTATATTTCTTATATCCGATTTGATATTTGTATTAAAGTCCGACCTTTGAAAGTTAATTTACCAAATTGCCCTTGTTTTGAAAAGTTTATTTAAGGGATAAAAGGGTAAAAACATTTGTTATTACATTACATAGACGTGGTGCAATTCAAAAGGGGTTTAAGGGTTTAAGGGGTCAGCGCAGAAAGAGAAGCTCAAATTGGGGCAACAGAATGAATAAAGGTTAGATTTTTTTCTGTAACCCACAAAGCATTCTTAAGAAAAAACATGAAATAAAGTTTTCCTTGTTGATTCTTGATTTTGGTGACCCAATATTTAATTACTTGTAAAAAGATAAACTTTATTTTCTACGTTTAGAGAAGAAGCTAGTTGTTGTTGTTGTTCTGGACCAAAAGTTGCTGAATTTTATGTGAAATTGCCCATGAATGGCTGCATAATTGTAATGGAGGAGTCTGAGTGCCAGTGTCATTATGTTTGCAAGTGAGCTATCAAGAAGTTGTGATTTTGAGTTTGAGCTTTTAAAGTTGTGATTTTGTTTGGACATGCGTTTTACTTGGAATTTGAACTTTTGGGAGTGAAAGTGAAATTTGTAAGTGAATCTACCAATATCCGGGTATTGGCTTAAAAAGGTGAGATTTTTTGGGTCCATTAGGCTTATGAAAGCATTATTAACACCTAACATATGAAGGCATATGAGAAACATGAGATTTTTTGGGCAACAGGGTATGTTGAAAATAGTAATTTAGGATGTTAAATAAATGAGAGTTTTAGAATGTTTTCTACTTGCCTCCCTTTCTTTTTGTTCTTTTTATTCTTTTTCTAATTCTACTATTGAATACATGTGTGACTAGTGAATTGAATCTACCTATGTTTGACAGAGTTGACATTGGTTTTTGTCCAGATAAAGGTAAACTTCGAACAGTAGCAGGTCTGCCTCGAACCCTTAATGTGAACAAATTTGCTGAGTCTCGAGCTTCTGAACTTGAATCTCTGCACTCAATTGTAAAAGAGCGTTTAAGTAATGACTTTAGATCTAAAAGAAGCAAGAGAAGGCGAACAACTGGGCATGACAATAGAGTGGCAAAAAGTAGAGTTAGAAAGAAGCAGAAACTAGGAGAGGAGAATCTCAATAAATCAGACAATTTGAAGAACGATAAAAAGGCGCTTCCACGCCATGTTCGTAGGAGAGTTGAGCTTAAAAAGAATTCTCTGAACGGCTTCTCAACTTCAGGAGATGGGACTAAGAGACTCAGAACCCACTTGTGGTATGCTAAGCGTTTCACAATGACAAAACTTTGGGGATTCTACCTACCCCTTGGTGTGCAAGGCAGGTAATAATAACTTTCTGCTCTTTGCCAATATATCTGAAGTGCAGCTACAAATTTTTTAACTTTATCCTTGTGCATTGAAAGGAAACATTTGTTATCTTGTGCTTAAACAAGAAAAAGACTGTTGTTTTACTAATTAAAAAGAAACACATCTGTTCATTGTTCAAATTGCGATTTTTGCCTTGTTGTATTCTCTCTGTTGTGGGAAAGAAGGTCCTTTGCCTGTTTATATTTCATTGATCATGAATACATGATGCAGGGGGAGGGGCTCGAGAGCTCTTCTGAAGAAACTACAAGGAGGAGTACTTGTACATGACGCAAGTTACTGCAGTGCTGTCCAGTTGGAGGGTCCACAGGCAGGCATTTACTCACTCTTTCCTGCCAAAATCTTACTTGATAATTGTTCTTCTCTTTAAATTATTTCCTTTTGGTGCCTGGATTACTTAGAAAGTGATGACATAATTAAATAAATATTTGTCTTATAAAGAAAATTAAATAAGCAATTGTATGTATTTTTTATCTTATGTTGGCCCATAACTTGCAATTATGGGCCCAGAAAAAAGGATTAGCAAGGATAAAGTTGACGTCTGCTAGCTAGAGATTGAGCTTATATAACATGGTCATTCACATTTTCTTTCAGGATTTGTTGATGTCAATCCTAAATACTGTGCTTGTGCCTTCTCCATACTCACATTGTGAGGATGCTCGTAATGACGTACTCTCTGGTGCTATCTATGGTAGTGCTGAGGTGGGTGGTCCATCTTGGTATTTTGATTAAAGTGATATGCCCTCCAAAATTTGCTTGCTTGATACTTGTGTTTCTTCTGGCAGCTCCATCATGTAGGAGCCACTTTTTCTAAGACAATTGCTCCTGTAACCTATATGTGGCAACCGCAGCAGTGTAGGAAAACTGATACAAAGGTCGATCATGCCGATATATGTGGTGAACAACAGAAGATTGATGGATGTGCTTCTTTAAGACGGCTATGGGTTTGGATACATGCTGCTGCTTTCAGTGAAGGATATAATACTTTGCAAAATGCTTGTGAAAGGCAGGTTGAGTAAAGAATCATGTGGTGTCCATTTCTAATGCTATATATAGTGGTCTCATTGTTACTTTCTTCGGTCTCAGATGGTATAATAAAATGGTGATGGCTGAATACGCATTCCTTTTTGATTATAAATGCATACAGTTTACTGAAGATGTGATTTACTTGCCTGTTCCTGTTGCTGTAGATCAGAAATAATGCTTCTTGGTATTCAGGTAGATGCTGCTGGCTCCAGAGTTAGTTGCATTTCCCTTGAGGATCATCTCGGGAAGTTGGAAGTGATTGGATCAAGGGCATCTGAGCTTCTTCAAAAGCTTTTACATCCTGCAACCTGGTGATTTTTTTGAAGGGACAACCTTTCTATTTTAACTGATTTATGAACATGATTACTGAACGTTGTTGTTTTCTGTGCAGTTCTTCATTAAATTCTTCCCCGGTGAAGTATGCATCCTTCATTGAGAATGACGACCAAATCCTTTCTTCAGCTATCTTTTCTCTCTTTGTCAATGATCCTCGATTTTTGAATAAAGATACTACTGATCCTTTGGAAGCAAAGGGTCAAAATATACTATCTTACAAGAAAGATGAGAAGGGAATTCCAAATAGAGACATGAAGTTACTCTCTTGCTCGTCCTTAGAATGTGAAGGACGTCCTGGCTTATCTGAGTGTATAGATCTCTGGGATGCTAAAGAAGGCATTGACCCTCCAATAGAAGAAAACATCCTGTGCATGGAGAAACACCATCAGCGTATGGAGTTGTTTCGTGTTGGTGATGTGAACTCACGCAGACAACAACCTTCTGTTGAGACACGGTTTTCTAGAGTCTGCCCTATACTGCTTCTGAAAAGTGAGAACGAGAAAACTTCTATTATAAGGTGAATCTGCAAGCATAGGCTTTGGAAATGAACATAAGTCTGATTTATATTTACACATGGTTGCTCAATATACTCACTTGACTAGAATACATATTGCATGTGCTGAAACTGAACTCTCATGCCATAAACACCTGTTCTCGAGTTTTGATGTCTTCAACCTTCAACTTGTGGCTAGGTTGATGTCATTATTTTCATACAACGTATTGTTCTGCTTTCACATCTTTTTCTGGTTTAGTTTGTACGCTTAACTTTTGAGGAGGATACATATCTATACGCATCCACCTTAACGACACCACCATCTAATTACAAAAGAAAAGATGGTAACTGCACTTTGTATAGTTGATAGTGTAGGTAATTGTCCTATTGGTTTGTGCTAGTTTCTGGCTTTCTACCGGTGTATCACGTAAGGGTAATAGTCAATAGTAACATAGTGTTTTACTTCTTTGCTAATTGCCTACCAGAAAGCTCAGTAGGAGCTTAGCTAGACAAGCAACTGTCAGCCCTCAAATGTCAGGGGAGAGATCCTTACCAATACATTCTCGATCCGGTTTCAAAGACAAAGCAAAAGGCATCTCTTATATTTCTACAAATAGAAATAAGAAATAAGTGAAAACAATTTTATAGAGAATAAGAAATGAGTAACATAAAATGCATATGCGTATGTGTCTTTGTGTGTGCCTCCTATCCCAGTTGTTTGTCTAGGTTGATTTTTCATGGAGATTAAGGAGAATAAAAATAAGTAGTTTTTATAATAGAGTTTGTAATAAATATGTTAAAATAATAATTAAAGGAATTTAAAAGGGCATAAGATGTCACTTCAAATATGAAATATCAAATTAACTTTTGGAAGATGGTATATTTGCAATTCTTAGGAAATCATGATTTATGATTGTGCTAGAACTTTATATTTGTGTAACATGTTACGCATTTTTCTCTCAAACTTTTCAATACCAATAGCATAAAAACTAAATTTCACTATCAAGTATATATGTTCATATTTTTCCTTCAATTTATTTTGATCGTGCACTTCTGTTAAGGTTACGTTTTCTTTCTTGAAAAACTATATTTTGGTCTTCTACAACAATCTCATCACATCTCTTTTGCTGGTCTAACCACTTGGGAGAATCAGCCTTCATAGTACTCACCTTTGAGTCTTCCTCAATTCAATTACATAAGAAAATGAGGCAATTAAACATCATGCTTTGATAGGAAAATCATGTTCTTATATAGAGAATACCTCATTGTTGTTCTTTTAAATCTCCCTTCAGATGGTCTATTATTCTTCCGCTGTGTTGGATCAAGGTCTTCTGGATCTCTCTTGTGACCAATGGTGCTCAAGCGATTGGTTTGAGGGAGAAGCATTGGATTGCTTGTGATGTTAGTATGCATGTTCTGCTTTCGTTCTGAATTTGAGTTTGACATCAATTTTAGATCCTAATATATGTGTTTCCTCTTTGCAGCTTGGGTTGCCATGCTTTCCAAGGGAATTCCCTGATTGCAACGCACACTCTTGTTTCATGGCCTTGGAGGAAGCTGCTTATGATGAAAAGTCTGAGCTCCGTTCTCCTCACACAAGGACTTGGAAAGTTCCTGTTTCATCTCCATGGGACAGTGTCCGCCTTGCTCTAGAAGGACTCAGTGGGACAGGTCATGATCGGATGCAACATGAACAGCTTTCTCCAAACGATATGATAAAGAACTTGGAAATGAGTACTCCATACTCGAGAAGATGCATAACTGACTCAGAGAGCAGTTGCAGTGCTCCATTCGAGGGATTCGTGGCAAGGACGTCTTATGTTCTGACTCAGTTTTTAGATGAGATCAGTGGTAGTCATCTACTTTTATTTCCCAAAGCGCTTCACAGGACAAAGTGCATATCCAAATTTATGAAGGACGAAAGAATATTCAATGAGGATACAGTTAAGGGCATTTACCAGATAAATCAGGACCAAAAGCTGTGTTTGGTCAGAGTTATTCTGCACGCCCACAGAGAAGGTTCTTTCGAAGAAGGAGCAGTTGTTTGTGCACCTCAAATTGATGATGTAATGTTGTTCACAACCAGGTGACTATTATTATCCATTTTTGTATTCAGTTATTTGGTTGCCTTATCCCATTTAATTATATTTATTTGTTCATTTTAAGAATTTTATCTGCAACACAATTGCCTCTTCATTACAATATGCATGACTAATCCTACTGCTAGATGATGATGCTTTGATAACAAATATCTTTGGCAGATCACTTAGGACATGTAATCTGCCAAAAAATTCGACTTCCATAAAAACATCTGGATAGAGTCTATGAGGTGGCAGAATTGGGAGAACATCATTTAGAAATACATTCATGTATGAGGGCTCAAGTATTTGGCCGATCAGTAGATGCATTAGCTCTGTTCTATGATAATTCACCAATTCTAAGCAAGAGGACACTTGAAATTGGAAGTTCTGATGGGGCAGAATCACGGTTCTTTTGTAAGCTTAATTTGTAGGTTTATGAGGATTGAGTCATTTTTATTTTTCTCGAATAAGATGTTTACGAGGAATCATTTACCTAGGGACGGACAAAGTTATATCACCTTCACTAGCTAGTAGTTACTAGTTAGTATTTATATACATATAGTAGTTACGCATGCTTAGTAGATTATATAGGATCTGTTCTTGTTATTTTGGCCTGTGCTTTGCCATTCAACTAAAGTCGGGAAACCCAATAGCCATTCTTGAAAACTCTGTTCAATTATTAGTAGGTTTGTATTTTGATGTTTAACAGGACTAATCTTACTGATGCTTGCCGAAACTAATTTTAAATAGAGGTAAAGGGAGAGCTTAGAGGTGCTTCTTATTATCAAATGAACCTGTTTTTGAATTACGCAGATCAGAGATTTCCAAAGGAGAACTTCAAGTACCCGAGTCCTTTGTGAGATCATGCTTCTCTCAGCAAGCAACTGGTAAATGGGAATTTCAAGTACCTGAAGATCCTGCTGCCAAAGAATCTTATCGATTACCAATTGGCTTTATTACAACAGGATTTGTTCGAGGAAGGTTAGTAAACTAAACGTTAATTCTGGATGTATTTTCATCGTAGCAATTATGACTTGTACTGAGTTCTTTATCGTGCAGTAAGAAGCCAGTAGCGGTGGCTCTTTGCGAGGCTGTCTGTCTTGCTCATCTGAGAGAGGAACAGTGGAAAGCTGTAGGTGTTAGGAAAAGAAGGAAGGAGATCTATGTCCTGGTTAGAAACTTAAGGTCCACAGCATATAGACTTGCACTTGCTTCTATCGTTCTCGAACAATGGGAAGATGATGTTGAATACATGTGATTAAACATGGGGTTCGCGATGGTTATTTACAGTATTTATGCAGAAAACTCTTCCCGAAAAAAGACAGAGAAATTCCAATCTCATGTTTGGTATGTATTTTTTTTCATTAGTTCATCCAAGAGCAATTAGTTTTAGTTGAAATTCTGATGGGAGACTTTGCTAAATTGTATTTGGTTTGTATCATGGAGATTGTTTTTCTGTAGATTTTGTTACTCTATAAAGGAAAGTTATTAATCAGACAGCTTATACTATGTTTTTTTCATTCTCTTACATTTTTTTCCTGAAAATATATAGTTTAACGCGTGATAGCAGGCTAGTTACCATTTTTACGAGGTCACCAATTATGTTATACTTATCATTAACGTGTTGTTTAACTTGACCTCAGTTGACATCTATGCTTTCCAACTTTGGGTGTGCATAAGTAGACACTTAAATTTGTATAAAGTTGAACAGGTAGACACATGTGTCCCTACGTGACATAATAAACGTAGGACACCCTAAAAAATTAGTTTTTTTTTTTTGGTTTAACATTTACAGAAAACAAAAACATGAAGGGTCTAAATAGATTCAGTTAATCTATGACTAAATACTATAATCAAGGACGAGCATAATTATCTCCTCTCCTCAAATTCACCTAAAACTAATTCAAACCTCAAAAAAAATATCTAACCTATAAATTATGAAACAATTCAATTACATCAACACATTATACATTCAAACAACAATACATATATATATATATAATCACTTAATTTTTGTCGTAGCAAAAATAGTATGGCATCGACCAACGTCATCGTTGTTATGCTTTTCATTGCCATGGTGACGATGTTTGTTGCTTCAAACGTTGTTGTTGTTGTTGCACAAGATGAACAAGACCCGTTATATAAGGAGTGTTACGAGAATGGCATAAAACTCGAGAATGGAAAGAAGCTTGATGGCATGAAAGTCGATGAAAATGTGCAAAGAGCATGTGAAAGCATCGTCTTTGACCTAGAACATTAAGGAAGTGATACGACTATAGGGGTTGTTCAGATGATATCTCTAACCTTAAAGTTCGAGTCACCAAATGAAGGAAGTGATATATATAATTTTCACTTGATGCATTTGTTATTGGCTTTTCTATATTTTGTTTGACAACCAAAAATAAATATTTATGTCACATCAAGAATAATGAAAAATTGAATTTTTCTGTTACATTTAATTCCTTTTTCAGGATACTCATGATTGGATCATGAAAACATTACATGAAAATAATTTGAATAATTCAAATCTAAATCAAATTTATCGGTTTGGTTATTTTGAATTTTCGTTTTGAACCTATAACTTGGGGTACTTTTTTTCATTTTTTCTTCTTGGAAAAGAAAAAATAAACAAAATATTTCTATCAAACCCTTTTAAAAATTATAATTCGTAATTTCATACCAGCCACGATCATATGAAAATTTAGTAAGTTTATATAAGTACAAATACAAGCGCCATCAATATTACAAAAATAAAAATAGAGTTAAACTTGAAATTTCATTCTTGCGTTGCTCGAACTTTTCAAGAATGATGCTCCATCCCATATCAGATCGTCAGAAAAGTGCACTACGACATATGCGCGTCTAACATTTTTGAAGAATCCGAGCACCACCTCAAAAATAGTTAATAAAAGGTTGAAGTTCAACTTTTGTAGTTGAATGATCCCATTCCAAAGATTCCCACCAATCTTTTTCACTTGAATTTATAGTAATCTCTTTAAGTGTAGAAGGAATTTTGAGTTCCTCTTCATGTGAAAAAAACAAAGGCAAATTCCTTAACTTAACACATTCCTTTATTGACACTTTCTTGATTGAATTGCACTTCATTTTTCCATTGCATATGCTTTTCAATTGTGGCAAAGACCATAAGGTTATTCTTGTCATTTTAGGAAAGACGGCGATTCCATCATTTTCTTGATCTTCAATTATTTCTTCGATTTGACTACATGATAGGACATATATCCTCTCGAGATGTCTCAGGTTTGAGCATAGATCAATTGGAAGTAGCTTCTTGATGTTGTGACATCTTTCGATACGTATCATTCTAAGGAGGGAAAAAGTACCAACAAGAGGAATTGAAGGTCTCAAACTTGTTTCACTTTCATCAAAAATACCAACGAAACTAGGCAATTCAAAGAGATCAAGATGCTCGAGAGAGGGGAATAAGACAGATTCTTGTCCTTGTTTTACCTTCATAAGGTACTCTAGTTTGTTGCACCAACGAACTTTGAAGTACTTTAAATCTTTTGAATCGTATAGACATGACAAGAAGTCGGAAAGACAAGTACTAAAGTTGTTGCAACTCTCAATTTTCAAGTGTTGAATGTCTTGTGGAAGCAATACTACTTCATCTTCTTTTCCAAGTCCATAACACTTGACTAATTTATCTGAAATTCTTCCATGATTGAATTCAATTTGTGTCATTTGTCCTAAACCATCATAGTCACCTACTAGAATTCTGTAAAACACGAGGCATCCTTCGTTTTCTTGAGCTCTGATGAACCGGTTGAAGTCATGAATAGTAGAGAACCTACCTTGAAACTCTTCCAACTCGTTTAACACCTCTAGTTCCTCACCTTGAACGTCTATATGATGCGATAACACTAGACGTTGCAGAGTTGAGAGTTGGGGCAATATACCTATTGGTATCCTCTCAAGCCAACGCATTGCATACATACTCAGGCATTTGAGGCTCAATAGAGCCTCAAGGGATTCAGGCAAAGTCTGAATCCCAGTGCCACTCAAGTCCAACTCTTGCAATAACTCGAGCTTTGCCAGAGTTGGAATTGACCTTAGATTCCAACAAAATGCAAGTAAGAGCGCGGTGAGATTCTCTAACTCGGATACAGAATCAGGCAACTTCTCAATGCAAGTGTGGCTTAAATCAAGAACACGTAACGACTTCATGTGCTCGAAGAAAGAATCTGGAATCTTCCACAAGTGATAATTCTGCTGCAACATCAATGTTGTTAGCCTTGGACACTTAGCTGATGTTCCTTCTGGTATTTCAGCTATCTTGTTCCTCATTAGAGATACCTGTAATTCGAAACAAAATTTTAGACGAAAATTATTTAAAAAATCCAAAATCTATCTCATCAAGTTCTAACAAGTTGTGTTGCTCAGACTCTTCAAACATGTCAATAGGCATGTGTCTGATCCTGACACGCGTGCAACAACACTTTGAAGATTCCGAGCAACATAGTATACGTTACAATACCTTGTCCAAATTTTCGATCCATTCATCCTGTTTTGGTGCATCATTAAGCTGAACTCCAGCTTTAACCATAAACATAGGATTTTCATTAGTGATCTTCAATGCCATCTCTCTAATCAAACTATGCATTTTCACACTATTTACGCCACTTTCCAACAAACAAACACCTTCCAATCTGTTCAATATTTCATATCCCTCTTCAAATTCTGCCTCGCGGCTCTCTTGTTCATCGATTAGTCCCTCTAAAACAAATCGAGTTATCAAATGATCTTTCGAGATTTTCTCATCTTCTGGATACAAACAACAGTACAAGAAACATTGTTGTAACTTTTCATCCTTCAATGAATTAAAGCTATATAACAACATCTTCATAACATCATTGTTCTCCTCTTTAAATGATTCTTCGAACGCCTTTCTCCATTCATCAACATTACTCAATTCTAACTCTCTTAACTTTGTAGCTAATGTAACAATCCCAAATGGAAGTCCTTTTGTACAATTATTCACCATAAACTTAGCGATTCCTTCAACTTCTCGCGGAATAATCATCTCATTTCCGAGTTTTTCTATGAACAAACTCCAGGACTCCTCTGCTTCAAGTGTTTTTACTCTGAATTCCCTCTGACATCCCATTTTTCGACATGTTTCGAGTAAACAACTTGTTACTATCAACCTTCCACCTTCAATTTTTAGAGGATTACCTAACATTTTCAAAGGTACATTCTCTAACACATCATCTAGTACTAAAACAAAATCATTTTTCTCTTTGAACGATTCGTGTAACGCGATTGCCCTCTTTTCTTCATCATGTTCCTCTATAAGATCAAATCCAAGTGATTTAGCAATGTCATTTTGTAACACTTTGATGTTACATTGTTGAGAAACATTAATCCAAATAACTTGGGATTTAGTTTTTTGTTCAACAAGGTGATTGATGAGTTTGGCTAAGGTTGTTTTTCCAACACCTTTAACTCCATATATACCAATACTTGTAATAACTTTGTCTTTCTTTAAACATCTCCAAATTCTTTCACATGTTCTTTTTGTTTCTTGACCAAATAACTTTGTTGGAAAAAATGACTCCCTTGCTTCCATTTTTTTTCTTCTCCTAGTAAAAATCAAGAAACAAGATCAATCACATTAAAAAGGCAGTTCGGTGCACTAAGTTTCCGTTATGTATGGGGATACAGAGAAGGGTTGGACTACAAGAGTTTATTGTACTTTGCATTTTGACTATTTCCACAGCTCGAATTCATGATTTTACCAGTTACATAAATGAGAAAAGGACATTTTTATGAACTACAAAGAGATCTAAGTTGAGTTTAAGAGAAATATGGAAAGAGTTTAAACATAACAGTTATTGGTGGATTTCTTCCACATCAACAAGTTATTTCTATAAATATTTCAATTTTCTTACTCCAAAGTCCAAATCACTTGTTCTAATCAATATTTAATTACTTATATCAAGCATTAAAAAGGAATCTCGGTGGGTAAAGTATTTCACATTCACAGAGGATTTATGGAAGGACCGCACTTTAAAAGGTGTCAAGTAGATGGTCTACCCTTAATACAAGCATTAGTCCACAGCTCGAACTTATTGCCACATCATCTTTAGACTAAATCCTCCTTTTTATATTACTAATATGCATAACTTACTATGGTCTAGTTAAATCAGGTCCCAGGATTCAAGTCTTGAGAATAGAATTGTTTTTAATAGAAAATAGTTTATCCCCCAAATGGAATTTCCTAATGTGAATTTACATATTAGTTGAATCCCAAAATGGATATTGGACATCATGTGAGACACGAAAAAAGGAAGTATTCGGGCTATATAGCTTCAACATCCCGTTAGTAATTCATCTA